CTCCAAACAACGTTGGGAAAGAAACAGATGAATAAAACTCAAAACACCGATTAAGAAGATGTTTTTCTATTATTGAAATCAAAGAAGATTGAAAGAGGAGAAGGAAAGAATAGAAGAAAAGAAGAGGCGGCGGCCAGGGTTTCCCATGCCATTGCCGCTCCTCCCTCTACAATCTCCTTCTTGTGATGATTTTTGTGACTTGATGTAAGCAGCCAATTGGATTGGTGGTTCTTTTAAGTGCAGTTGATTTTCGACAATATTTTGGGAAAATTCTTAACTCAACCATAATTTGGTAAATATTTTTTATTTAGATCATTCTTGGAAAAAACTACCTAATTTTAAGGTTTCAAGGTTTGGGGTTTGTGTAAATTTTGCCGGCAACGGACATCATCGTCCGTTCTGTGCTTTAATTTGAGGGGTAGGTCTAGGAGAATAACGCTACACATGGAATGAAAAGGAGGACAACCACAAAGTTACATTTCATTCGCGCAGGTTTTGTCCGACAGGGGAAGGTCTCGGTCGCTCTTTTGCCGATTTCAGCCCAACGAAATTGGATTTTTCTATCTAAAAGCAGGCAACAATGACAGACGATTACGACCAGGAGGAAATCGAGTCACTAGCGCAGGCTTATGGACATATGGAGATGGTGGAGGATAAGTTCCTAGTGGTGGAGGCTATGCACGCGGGCGGTTTCAAGCCTATCTCTGCTAGGAACGATTACGTCGGCTGGCGACAGAGCGGAGAGCGAGCTATTCATAGGGAAAGAAAGAGGATCATACGTTGGCTTTGAACTAGAACGCGTCTTTGATGAAGACGGGTGCCGCTGCAGTTGGAAGAGATGGTATGGGTGATCCTTCACCCTCTTGAACCTCCACCCGTACCATGGATTCCAATTACAAAGGAGGTCACTCTGGGCTTATTATACGGTAGCACTCGCAAAGGGAAAGCCCCTATGAAAGGAACAAGACAATTTACTTTTGGTGCTTTTATTTAATTTTTTAATAACTTTTGCTATGTTATTTTTGTGGGCAATAGCGATAGGTGTTTTAGTTTTGGGACTATTTTATGTGATGGTTGTTTAGGTGGAAGTAGGGTTGGTTGTTAACGAGCCGAGCCCGAACACCCAAAGCTCGAGTTCTGCTCGATAAGGAATTAGTGGTGTTCGGGTTCGATCTCGAAGCTCGACGGGTTTTACAAATGAGGCTCGTGTTCGGCTCGATAGGCGTTCGATGTTCGAACCGAGCACTCGATAAGATCGATAAATATGCTCAAGTTTAAATTTTTAGATGATGCTCGTTAGTAGGCTCGTGCTCGAATGATTTGACGAGTATTTGATTCTTTCATGATCATTTAAATTCATAAAATAATACTAATTATATTTAAATATATAAATTATATTTATAATTTCAGGGTGTTCGATAGACTCGAGTTCGAACCGAGCCGAATACTACTATGTTCGAGCTCGGTTCGATTAATTTTTCGAACTTAAAATTCAGCTCGAGTTCGTGTTCGAAAGCTCGTTAAGCTCGGCTCGTTAGGTTCGAAATCGAGCTCGAACTCGAATAGTTCGATAAAAGCTCAGTTCGTTAACAGCCCTAGGTGGAAGCGATAAGACTTGTGTGGCCGGTAAAAACTTTGAAACTCTCACATGGTTAGCTATTAGTCTTGTTCATAACTAGATGGTCTATTTTTTGTCTAATAAGAGAGTGAGAGGGTCGTTCAGCTATGCGGAGACTCTTAGGGAATCTTGGTTTATTGTGGTTGTGGAGACATTTGGTTCTTTGATATTTATAATATAAGCTAGTTTCCTTTCAAAAAAAATAGAAGAGCTTAAATGATGGATTGTAAATAGTAAAAGGGTCTATTTTATCCTTCTCACAATACCATTCTGTTTATTTTTTCATATTTTTTGTTTTATTAATAAAATAGACAAAGCCTTTTTTACAATGCAGCGAAATCAGCACATTCAATCATTCCAGCCAGAACCTCATAAATCTCAAAAGAATCAATCCATTCTACCGATTTCACTATCAAATAAGCTCTAAGAATGTTAATTATTTTCTAAAATAGAGAACCTCTAAATGAGACGTTCAACAAATAAAAATTAGAACCTTGAGCTAGGACGGAGCCATAAAGACGGGACGAAGCCATAAAGAAGTACGTATTAACATGGGGTATACTACATTTTTTGACAAGAAGATCTGTTCGCTTAGATTTTCAGAAAAGTAAAATTCTATTTACAACCAATACTTTACTAGGTACATCCATTTTTTAAGGATTTAGGTACATCCACATACTACCCCCGTCTCACTAACATTGAGACAAGAGTGAATGACACAATTATTAAGGAAAGTGAGTTTTTTTAAAAGAAAAGCGAGTCACACAAACTTTAACAAATTTGATATGGGATAATCTTAGTAGAATTTACCGAAAAGAAAAAACAAGACAATCAACGGAAACGAAAAGAGAGTTATTCTATAATTTCCGTTATACCCTTGTTATGTACTCCCTCCGTTCCCAAAAATACTTCCCACTTTCCTTTTTGGGCTGTTCCCAAAAATACTTCCCACTTTCCCATTTTGGACAATTTGTGTGGCTTACATTCATTTTACCTTTTTCTTACACAACCACAACCATACATTTCCACTTTATTCCACTTTCTTAATAAGCGTGACAAGTCAAACCGGGAAGAATTTTTAGGAACGGAGGGAGTACTTTTCATGGGCACTGGTTTCTGCACCATCTCCCGCTAGCGGGAATAGTTGGCATTGCAAAACTGAGATGTTATTTCGGTGGAGGAGATGAAGGTTGCTCCGGTTGTGAAAATTTCTTTCACATCGTCTCACATGGGCACTGTCGTTCCTCATAAGGACGATCCTTACACAGTTGCAATGACAGATTGATATAAGTATGCAATAATCAATCTTATGTTCTGAAAGTCATTAACAACTTGGAAGTCATGTTTGAGTGATTGGAGAGTTTCGAATTGGAGATTATGCGGACAAGAGAAGGTTCATTCGGTTTCCTGCGGCAAAGACGATACTCTCACAAGTCTCGATTTTTCATCATATATATAGAGTGATATTCGAGGAGTACATTGAGGTTGCAGAGGGAAGGCTAGAAGCCCTCCTGTCAAGTTTATAGCCTACTTCAACGACAGAGTTACGTTGCAGTTGAAGGGTATTTTAGATATTTGAATTGTTTTTATTTATTACTTCGTAATATTTAATTTTGTAGATGTGAAAATGAATTTGAGAATTTTGAACAAAATTTCCTTTTTAGATAATATTAATTTATGAAGGGCAAATCTCCATTTTTTGGTGGCCCGTATGTGACTCTTGGGATGGTCTAAATGAGTTAATTACCTTTCTAGGACTAAAAGTACACGTGAGTGTACAAATAGGAACAAAAAACTAAACTATGTTTCATAGAACTTAAAAGCATCTTGTTGGACAAAAATGCACATGTTCAACTTTAATTTGAATTTATAATAAAAAATGTAAATTTGAAATTTTATGAACCCCTAAAATTTCAACAGGAGCACTTCAGCCACCCTCGCTGCCGTCCTCGCCCGCCGCCGCCCTCGTTGTCACCACTGCGGCCGCCGCCGCCCATACCGGCGTCGTCCCAACCAACATTGTAATCATCCACCGTCGCCGCCACCGCCACCCATTCCGGTCGCCGTCGCTTCATTTTAGCAAAACTGCCATGAGAGTCAGATGTGGAGGCCACCACTACAACTCCAAACACCACCGCAACCTTCACAACACCAATGCCATACATCTGACATTAAGTTGGCATATTTGGCCTTCAAGATAAATTTCAATATGCCACTTGTATGAACTCTTAAATCTGCCTATAAAGTTGGATTTGCCTTGGAAGAATAACACAAAATTGTCATAGATTTGGCAAACATATGAATCAACAACCAAATATCCGATGAAGGCGGAAACGAGGGTGATGAAGGCGGAAGCGATGAAGGCGGAGGCGGCAAAGGTAGCCTGCGTTGAAATCGAAAAATCTGCAGGGCAGAAGGTGAGATGCCGCTGCGAAGACCCTTTGGTTGCATCTAGAGAAAGCAACGCTCTGCGTTCAAAGGGAGAAGTTGAGGGAGTAGGGTAAATAGGTGTAGGGATAAAAATGAGATGCTAATTTCAAAAATAGGAGTAGGTTGGTTCTATTTGGGAATAAAAAACATAAAAGGTCTTATTTTTGAATTTCAACTCACTTTTAATCCTATTTAGGTTGATTTTTATTCTTAAATAAGACAATATTACATCCATCCTTTTGGGCATTGTCAATTTTATGTGGTTGAAGTTTATAGTAAAACTTTGAACAACATATGCATTAGTTTGAAAATAAAAGGCAAGTGATAAATTGTTTAGAATGTAAATATGTAATTGGCAATTTTTTGTGGCTAATAAAAGTGATATTTGATTTTGCATCTCATTTTAAAATCATTAATGTATGCACCTCATTAATCCAAAAAATGTGAAGGGTGAGATGTAAAGTCAAATAATTTTATTTTATTGTGAATTAGGTGCACACATTAATGGTTTTTAAAATAGGATGCAAAATCACTTTAGTTGCCCGTTTACTTTTTCATGTATTTCAAAATAATTAGTATGGAATTCATAAAAAGCAAGAGATTTTTTGGTAATGTGAGGAATACCGCCTTTTTGGTTGTTTTCTTTCCAAAAAGCAAAATTAGTCAATTAATTTGATACTTTTGGAAAAGGAAACCAAGACAAAAGTGATACTATTTCCGTTCCAAATTGATTTGCAAATTTGACTTTTTTTGATCAAACTGTTTCATTTTATTCGCTTAATTAGGATGTCAAATTTTAATTATTTTCTAATTTGAAGTTTCTAACTTTGAAGAGATTTTGATGTAGTTTCTGAATATGTAAATTTTAATTTAGTTAAAATTGAATTAATTATCGATAGAGAGAATTGAACTTAATTATTGTTTGACAAAAAAATGTTGATTTTACGAAACAATTTCGAACAGAGGAAGAGAGTAATAGTCAAATATGATGTCTAAAGTCAAATTCTCCATTTCTGCAGCCACCTACCCATTGGCCGAGCGCGTCTTTCTCACATCCTCAGCTGCAATGGCATCTGTGGCCTCTCTCACCGGAGCCACCACTCGCCTCCCCCCTTACACCTCCATCGCCGCAGCTTCTTTTACCTCCGCTTCTTCTCTAAAACTGAAATGCTTCCGATCTTCACATCTGCTCTCTACCGTCTTCCTCTCCCAGGCATCCTACCATCATCGTTTTCTTTCTGATTATGACATATGCATACTTAAATAGACTTTCTGATAACGAAACGTGTCTTATTTTCAGAAGAGAGCGGTGGCTCCACTATTTACCCGAAGCTTCGGCTCTGTGGTGTCGCCTAAATGCTTTGCTTCGGATGCCGATCAATTGAAGAGTGCGAAAGAGGACATCAAGGAGCTACTCAGGACTAAATTTTGCCATCCAATTTTGGTAACGATCATGGATTTAACTGTTCTTATGTGGCGAATGTACTCCTCTCCCTAGCCATCTAGTTATTATTCATCCCCGTTCTTACCTCCTCAATATATAATTTTTAATTCAATAGTGACACTACTTCTTTTGTACCATTCCTTCGCTAAAGTTAATTTATTATTCTTGGGACAGTGCATCAATAATGTCATATTTCCTTATTTTGTAAACAATTTTTTAGAATCAAATGCTCTAGAGTAAGGTGGAAATGTGGAATTATACAAATTTTTATTTCTTAATCTTTTCAGTTTACTCTATTAACTTTATTTAACAGTGTCAAGCAGTTCACTTCACTATGATGATGATGATGATGATGATGATGATGATGATGATGATGATGATGATAATAATAATAATAATAATAAAACTCTCTTATAACTTAAGTGGCATTTAATTTACTCTATAACTTCAAGTAACCATTTTAACACTTTACTAAAAAGGGCAGCCCGATGCACATTGGCATCACTGCAAGGTGAGGTCCGGGGAAGGGTCCCAACACAATGGTATATAAGGAGCAAGCCTTCCCTTGTCATTTTGACTAGAGGCTGCTCCCAACCCGTGACCTCCCAGTCACAGCAACATAGTAACCGGTGCGTCAAGGCTCCACTTCATTGTAACACTTTACTCTGCATTAATATTTTACCTCAGGTGCGTCAAGGCTTTTCTGGAAGGAAAAGGAAAAATGTAATTTCCTTAAATTCTTTGAAGGTCAACCTAGGAACTTCTTTTAGTTATGGAGAGTATTATTTTTCATGCAGCCTATTAATATGTAAGTTCTATGTGGCTATGTGCATATGATATATTAAAGCATTACCAAAGCTGAACTGAAAATATCTTTGCTCGAAGATGGGAATCATGGGATGGAGGGAGTAATAGGTGAAAAGTTACATGTATCGGTACACTAGGCATCTATATACGTATACATTTGTGTGTGTATTTATGGATAACAATAGAAAGTAATTCTGGTGTAATGATGAGGAATATGGCAACCCATAAATGTCTTTTTACACCTCAATGAATACAGGTGCGTTTGGGTTGGCATGATGCTGGTACTTATAACAAAAATATTAATGAATGGCCAAAAAGAGGGGGAGCTAATGGAAGTCTAAGATTTGAGGTTGAACTGAAACATGCAGCGAATGCTGGTTAGTTGTAATTCAGGATTTGTCTTTTTGCTCTCCACTTATTGTATTTGCTTACAAAACTGACACTTCAGGTCTGGTGAATGCATTTAAGCTTCTACAGCCCATAAAGGATAAATACTCTGGTGTGACTTATGCTGACTTGTTTCAGTTGGCTAGCGCTACCGCTATTGAGGTAGCTATCCATTTTCATCCTTGTACAGATATAAAAACGTGTTCACTTGTTCTTTGAAAGTGTAGGAGGCTGGGGGGCCCAAAATCCCAATGAAATATGGAAGAGAAGATGTATTGGGTCCTGAGCAATGTCCAGAAGAAGGGAGGCTTCCTGGTGAGACAACCTAGTTCTTTTATTGTTTATTATGTAGTAATATGAGCTTTTGGTTGAATACATAATATTGTCAATGTTCAGAAGAAGGGAGGCTTCCTGGTGGTATGGTTCAGTTCTTTTCTATATTGAGTTTGTTTATTATACTGCAATCTGAACTTTTACAGTAGAAGCAATATTACAATGATTGTGTAACCACTAACCAGTGTTAGTTTCACAAATTGTTGTGTAACAGAAAAATAAAATAAACGGGGTAAACCGTTGCCCAGAGCCAAAAGGCTAAACTCCAATTTTATTCCAAGATGAGCCAGAATGAATCCTAACAAGGGGTTTAAATACCCATCTACTAATTCCCAAACTAGGAAACAAAATCTTATAAATCCTAATCAACTCCAACTAGGAAATAGAATAAAAAAGATCCTAATCAACTTCAATTAGGAAACAAATAATAGAAATCCTAATTAACTCCTAATAGGAAACAAATATTAGAAATCCTAATGAACTCCAAATAGGAAACAAATAAGGAAAATTAAAAATAATAAATATTAATTAAGCAGCCCGCAACCAGCCCATGAAGGTGGGCACAAGCCCGTTCCTGCCCCATGCTCTTCCTGCTCTCTATCAATCCATCCTCCTTCAAAATAACCTTGTCCTCAAGGTTGAAATCTCGCAGATCGAGGACTGAAATTTCCAGCCATAGAATAGACTGGAAAATATCCTTCATCTCTTTCCTGAACCTTTTCCTGGCCGGTTATTTCACAGTACTCATGCTGTTGGAGGTCCAACTCCTCATCCTCCTCAGCTATCATTACCCGCAACTGCTTAAAGGGACAGTCATACCATGGGGTAAATGGTTTCTTACACCTAAAGCATAATACCTTTGCCCTCAATTCTGCTAACTCCTTTGGCGCAAGACGAGTGAACTGGGAGTATGTCTTAGGCTGCCCGCTGCCCGGACAGCCCTAACTTTGTCCCCGGGGGCTGTCCACTATCTTTCGCAAAGCTGCCCCTTGAACCCTGTAAGCTGCCACCACTGACAGTCAACGGAGGACCATTGTTTGCCATTAAAAAGATGCTGGAACGTACCCCTAAAGAATTATAATTCGGGCTGCCACTTCCTCCACTTTGGACGGACAGATTATGCTCCACATCGCGAGCTAATTCCATGGCCGTCTCCAGGTTTTCTGGCCGGACTAATCGCAACGAACTTCGGATTGCTTCCTTAAGTCCACTCATGTAATAGCCCAAATAATGATCGTCGGTCAATCCCGGAACTTGACTAGCCAGTTGAACAAACAAGGTATTGTATTCCTCCACCGACCCAATTTGTTTGACGCCTGACAGCCGTTCAAACCTGTTTCCCTGATATCGGGAATCAAATCTGGCCACCAGGGCTCGCTTAAATTCCTCCCATGACATGTTGGGTTTGCGCGCCTTCAACCAAGTCACCCAATAGAGGGCAGCCCCTTCCATAGAAACCCTAGCTGCTGCAACTTGTCTGTCCGGTGGGGTCCTGTTGAGCTCAAACTGCTGCTCCACTCTCGCCAACCACCCAATTGGGTCTTCACCGTCGAACGAGGGAAGGGGGGTTGTGGCTGCGCTGGGCAGTCCGCCGTCACTAGGCGCTGTCACGGCCGCACTTCTGACCGCAGCCGAGGAAGTTGCCGGCAATACCGGCAGCACAAGGGCCTGGGTTAGCGTGGCCAGGGATGCGGCGATTTCAGCCAGTTGCATGCCGTGTTCTTGTAGGGTGCTATTCATCCGATTCTGTTCAATCACCATTCGTGCTTGTTCAGCCCCCAATCGGGCTTGCTCCTCTCCCATTCGGTGTTGCTCGGTCTCTAACTCAGTCAATAGATCGTTCTAAGATCTCATCATCCTGGCGGGACGGGATCCGGCAGGTCGGACCAATTGTTGTGTAACAGAAAAATAAAATCAACGGGGTAATCCGTTGCCCAGATAATCAACGATAAAAATACCGTTGCCCGGAGCCAAAAGGCTAAACTCCAATTTTATTCCAAGATGAGCCAGAATGAATCCTAACAAGGGGAATAAATACCCATCTACTAATTCCCAAACTTGGAAACAAAATCCTAGAAATCCTAATCAACTCCAACTAGGAAATAGAATAAAAAAAGATCCTAATCAACTTCAAATAGGAAACAAATAATAGAAATCCTAATTAACTCCTAATAGGAAACAAATATTAGAAATCCTAATTAACTCCAAATAGGAAACAAATCAGGAAAATTAAAAATAATAAATATTAATTAAGTAGCCCGCAACCAGCCCACGAAGGTGGGCACAAGCCCGTTCCCGCCCCATGCTCTTCCTGCTCTCTATCACAAATCTTTAGCTCAACTACCCCCATTTGAATACATAATGTGTTACTGCTTTTCCTCAGCAGAAGCCAATGCTTCATATTAAATAACAAATAAAACCTCATTATGATATAGTGAGTAACAAGAGAAAATCTTTATCACCATGCTCTAGTTTATCTTTGGTGTACTAGCTTTGGAAAACTTTCACATTTCAACATGCTCATGGCTTCGTGCAAGTTTATAGAATATCACTTTGAATGCCGGATATGACTCTGAGTGTAAAGATAAATGATCCAGACTGAAGTGTTTAGTGGCTGATTGGTGGGGCAGATATGACTGAAATTGAAGTTTAATACGGAGTATCTAATTAGCAGAAAAGCACACTTAAAGCATAATTGGTGGTGCATATTTTAGCAATTTTCGAACGTAGCAAAAACATTAAAACTCTGAGTAGCTGCTTCTTTCCTCAATTTATACTAATACTGTGGTTGTAGAGTGAGTAGTTGACTATTGGAAACAAATGTAATTCTTTGTCTCAATTCTTGTGAACATTTCCTACCACAATTTATTTTACATATGAGATGACATTTCCCTATTCTTACAATCTAATTAAGACCTTTATCTTTGTATATCTCCACTTTTTATAATACGGATAATATATTTATAGTGATTATAGTTCTGTAGCAACTAACACAACTTTGGTGTTTAGATGCTGGTCCTCCTTCCCCTGCTGACCACTTACGCGATGTTTTCTATAGAATGGGACTGAATGACAAGGTGAGATTTATCATTACTGATCGGAAGAAGTTCATAATTGATTGAGGTGTGAGCTTTTATGCATATGTAGTTATGTACATATGTGCAATATGTTACTCACTGGTGAGCTTTATTGTTTTTCAGGAAATTGTTGCGCTTTCTGGTGCCCACACATTGGGACGTTCCAGGCCAGAGCGCAGTGGTTGGGGAAAGCCAGAAACAAAATACACTGTATGAATATTCTGTTCCCCATACATCTTTTATGAATACACTGTATGAATTCACCTCATTATTTCCGTTCCCCACGGGTCTCTCTCCAGTTGCACATAGAATTTCAGCTGCTAGAAGGCACATGGACCTAAATTTTTTAGTACTGAAATAAGTATTCTGGTTTATGCTGAGTGAATGCTAGAATTAAGAGTGTTTGCTGTGATAATAGTGAATTGTTATATATGGGAAGTGGTGTGCCAAATTCCCCATCACAATATATATGGTGCATGTGAGATTACTTTAACCCGTTTTATTATTGCAGTCATAGCAGCATTCACTAAAAATATTAAATAATCTCTCACCACTCACCATGTCTAATTCTTTTCCTCCCTGTTTCTATGCTTGGGTGGAGTTTGGCCACATTTTTTATTGTGTCCTTCATGTGCTGTTCCTCTGATCTTTTGATAGTGCATGCTTGCATGAAATCAAAACACCTGAGGCCTAGTAATTTTTATTCCACATTTGTAGAAAGATGGCCCTGGTGCTCCTGGAGGTCAATCATGGACTGTACAATGGCTGAAGTTTGACAACTCTTACTTCAAGGTTTGATAAAAAACATTTCAAAGGGGAGAGAAAAAAACATTTCGTCCATCAGTAAGTGCTATTTGATTGCTGTAGGATATAAAAGCAAGAAGGGACGATGACCTGCTAGTGTTGCCTACAGATGCTGTCCTGTTTGAAGATCCTGACTTTAAGGTGAAAAGAGTACTCGAACTATAGTTTTCTGAGAAAAAGTATGCTATATATATACCCACAACTGTGTAACCACATTGTGACCCAAACTGCATGAACAGTCTAAGATATTGTGCCCTTCGCTATTTAGATAAATTGAATGTAAGGATAACATTGTCTTTTTTCGTGTGGTTGGGGGTTACACCTGGGAGAATAGTAGAGTTACTTTTTGTTTGATTACTTATCCTTCTATTTACTCTAATAGATAACATATGTGGAGTGTTATATATTTCACTTCATTTATTATAACGAATATGCAGGAATATGCTGAAAATTATGCTGTTGATCAAGATGCATTTTTTAAAGACTATGCAGAAGCCCATGCCAAACTCAGCAACCTTGGAGCGAGATTTGATCCGCCTGAGGTTTTGTTTTAACCTAAGTCTATTATCTCTTTTCATTTTAAGCTCGACTAACTACGAACTGTTCAACCCTTAACTATTTTTCTTTCAAACTATTATCCGAAAAATAAACAGATTTCTATATTATTTTTCAGCGTCAAACTCGTCCATCTAAATCTGCATGGTAATTGGGGGGATTAAATCAGATTAAAATTGCATCAGTGGACAATTTTTTGTTGAACCTAAAGTTTAGGTTTGAAAAGGGCTAGGTTTGACAACAATTTTTTGATGAATTGTTCTGTATACAATTCTTTTTAGTTTCACACACACTGCACACACATAGTGGCTGGCAAAGAAATTTAGTTTGGTGGTGGTGGGTGTTATAACATATCACATAATATAATAAAACCTGTTGTGTTTTACATACTTTGTAATCTTATTATAAAGGGCTAGGTAGCGATTTTGATAACACTTTTTCAGGAAGTGTTTTTTGGTTTGAAAATGATGTTTCACTACATTGTTTTAATTCATTGTTTGGATATCTGTTTGATTAAACTTTATCTTTTCGTGCTTAAAAATATAGGTAGTATATAATATTTTGATGGTACAAAATAACTGAAAAAGAAAAAAAGTTATGAAAAAGGTCATTTTGATCCATAGATACAAGTCACGTGTTGAAACGTGTCCCACTATGAGAAATAGAACACAATAGATGAATATACATACATACATATATATATATGTGTGTGTGTGTGTGTGTGTGTGTGTGTGTGTACTCCCTCTGGTCCCAAATGAAATTCACACTTTCCTTTTTGGGTAGGTCCAAAATAAACTTCACACTTCTTCTCTCTTCCTTTGTTGGCACTTTCCTTATTTACCTAAATGAATTGAAAATACTCGTTCAAACAATATCCAACTATGAAATAACTAAGAAATCATTCGTAGTTTATACCTACTTTACTTGCATGACATCTGCTTGTTCGCACGTCTACAACAAGCATCATTACTCCCCTCCAAGATATCAAGAAGGTGGGTAATTGTTTGCCTTGTTTAGCAAACAACAGTGATGTATTTTGATAATTAGGAAGGGCGTCTATTGGTAACATATTAGGTGAATACTGATTCCAATCCTAAAGTTATGGCAGCCACACCTCCAGAACACTTCTCAGCATCTTTTTCATCCTCATCATCATCAACCAGCTTAACAGAAGGTGTTAATGTGCCACAGTTGTAACTTGCAAGTAAAGACTGCTAATTCAATTCAGGGATTGTGGCTTCTAGGACAAGACACGTTGCAATACTTGGTCACTTACTTTTTCAATCCACTCACTGATTATCTGAGAGCTTTGGAGTTGGGGTTGTTGGAAAGTTTGCAGCCAAACAGCCCATGACACTGGCAATTGTAATATGTCTAGGGCTTCTCTAATACTTGTTTATCAAGACTCTTGGGGCTACTATGAATAGATGTGCTCTGTTCATTATTAAAATAGTCAGTTTCTTCCTTTTCATTGTCCACAGAGATTCGCTTCTCACTGGCGGAAGAAGGCAGAGACATAAGCTGCCTTTGTTTTTCTTCAGATTAGATGATTGCAGCCATGACCATCTCCCCCCTGATCAGTTTTTGTTGATTAGATTTTAATATAAGCCAAAAATATATTATGTGGAGACCAACATCATCAGTTAACCCGTACTTAATCTGCTAAAAAAATTAAATCGTACCTTTCATCCAATTCAGAAACTTCAGTGGAGCTTGGTTTTAGTTAAGAGTTAATGTCACCATTCTATGTATTGTTAGGGGGTATTTTACACATATCCCTTTTTCCAGAGCCAGATTATAGGCACACCCATTTGAACGGTTTCGAGCATATTTCAAGGAATCTATTAAAGCTGCTCATATTAGAAGTGTTTGTTTAGGAGATTTATCCATCAAAGTCCAAGTTTGATTTCATTTTTGTTGCTATAATCATATAAGGTTTAATACTGTTAATATTCTAACATATGTTGTTTTCTTTCTCAGGGTTTTTCAATTGATAGCAGTCCCAAAGACGTTCAACCACAGAAGTTTATAGCCGAGGAATACTCATCTGGAAAGGTGCTTTTAAAATAACTTCATCGGGTCTCTCTTTTCAGAATCAATAAATATTATAATAGCCGAGTGGTGATTACCTTGGCTAGGGCAATATATAAGCATTTAAATCGTTTACATTTTATGGTTGCTGCAGGATTAAAGTACAAGTATATTTTCTTCTGCTGTTTCTTTTGATTACACAAGATCAAGCTATTACCTTTCTTGTACCCAAATCTAAAAACTTTAGAAGTCATTATGGAGGAGAGAAGTAAATCGAATAAATGCTCTACATTTGAATTGAATTGCAGAGGCAGCTTTCAGATGCTATGAAGCAGAAGATTCGTGCAGAATATGAAGGTTTTGGGGGAAGCCCAAATAAGCCTCTCCCAACAAACTATTTTCTCAATATCATGATTGTAATAGGTGTTTTGGCACTTTTGACATCTTTGCTTGGAAACTAATTACCCAAATGCCTTTTATGAATACACACAGCAAAAAGTACTTCCGGCATTTGAACATGTTCATTTTTTATTTAATTATCACTTCCTCTATTTTCAATTTGAATGTACTGAAAATTTAAGGCTGTTCGAGCCTTGCTGGTACCAAGCATGGTGAGCTACAGTAGTGCAATATTGCTCGACTCTTTTGGTATAAAAGTCTTTTAATAAAAGGAGTTCAGACTTCTAGAATTATGCTATTATTATTAATTGTCCAGTTTAACATCAAATATTTTGCTTTTCAGCTTGTTTGGCACGGCATAAGTCACTGTTTCTAATTCTTTTTTATATACAGAAAGTTTCTAAAAGCTCGTTATTTGTTTCGTAAACCACTTTTTTGGAGCAGTTTTAGAAATTCAGTTTTTTTGTGAAGGAACTGAGTACTCTTGTGACAATTTAAGATTGTCACAACAGCTGTTCTGCTAAACAAGATACATTAAACAACCTGCTTTTATTAAGAAACTACAATCTTTAACATTTAAGAGCTTTTTAGTTATTAAAATTAAGGTTATGTTTGGCAGGCATAATAACTTTTATTAAAGTTATACACATCTAACTTTTTTGACACTATTCTTTGAATGGAAAGATACTAACTAATAGCAAAATAGTGAAAAGTTTTTTTTAACTATTATTACTAAAATACAGAAAAACTACACATTCTCATTTTAATTTATTATTATTACAAGTCTCATTCACTTGATTCATTCACAAACTTACAACATCACTAAACATAGCCAATTCAATCATTTCCAGTTTTTAACCAAATTCATTTCTAGCTGGACGGACTCATGGACTATCCCGGATTAAGGATGGCAATGGGGATGGGGACATGTGGGGAACCACCCCGCGGGGGAAGGATGGGGCGGGGCTTGGGGGCGGGGGCAGGGATGGGTGAGATATTTATACCCCGCTAAAATATGGGGCGGGGGATGAGGATTACTACACCCGTCCCTAGGCTTGGACTCGGACCGGTTCGGGCCCGGTCGGGCCTCCGGGTTATTACAGGTGGGCCCGGGACCGGCCTGAGTAGCCACCGGGTCCGATCCGGGCCTGGCCTCATTTTTTCCCTTTTCCTAATTACCCCCCCTCCCATCCCAACCCCCCAAACCACCCCAAATGGCCCAAAATACCCAGCCCAACCCGAAAAGTAAAAAAAATTGAAAAAAAATTAAAAAGCTCGGAACCGGGCCCGAACCGGCCGGGCCGGTTCGGCTTTTGGGTGACCCGAGCCCGCACCGGGAACCCCCTTGGGCCGGGCCTACCCGGACCGATCACTGGCCGGGCCACTGGGCCGGGCCGGGCCGGTTCAGCACAGTACCGGTCCCGGACCGGTTCCAGGTCGGGCCACCCGGCCCGAGTCCAAGCCCACCCACCCCGTCCCTGTTATAAATATAAACTCAAACAAACACATACACATACACACAGACATGCATACGTCTATGTGTATTAGTCATGATTAATGAACTAATACTACATACATATTATGTTAGAATAATAACAAGTAATGACTGATTTTTTTATCATAAATGATATATGAATTTTAAAAGTGAGAAATTGAATAAATAGAACACACACATATATGTATAATATATATATAATTAATTGTATCATAATTGATGAGAAATTTGGAACTGACATACATGATAGTAATGAGTTTACTTATATTTTAGTTTTAATTAATACATTTTCACATGACTTATTCAAATTGAAGAATTATTAAAAATGGACGGTATTATCTTATATTGAACATAATTCGTAGTATTATCCAGTTTAACTCTTTTAATGCAATATATTTATATTTATATATTTATTTATCTATAAAATGGATTAAAAAATTACACAAATAAGGTAACTAAAATATATATGGGGCATCTGTGGGCACCCGTGGGGGACAGCGGGATGGGACGGGGCGAGTCTTGGAGTAACGAGGGATGGGGCGGGGGATGGGGGAGTGAACCCCCGTCCCAAACCCGCCCCATTGTTATCCCTATCCGGATTCCTAAAATGATTTGTGGACTTCCTTACATCTATCGTGCCCAAGACTCCTCCACCACCTCATCTACGGACCCATTATAGTCAAAGTTGTTGGGTTTCGGGCAGAAAAAAGCAGCGGGAAAAAAAATCTTGGCCCAAAAGTAAGCAACCAAATCTGAGCTTCTTACTATAAACGAAATTTCAAAAATTTGAGGGACTTACATAGCAATCTTAAAACAAGGATGTCAGACACTTCGAGAAAGTGATCCCGATCTCTACCTGTATCCACACGCACGTGACTGGATCGTCCGCATGGAACATGCTAGCGTTCTCTTCTCTCTTTCTCTAGGTTTACTAGATGTGAATTTAACAGTTAAATTTGTGGCTCACCTTAGAATTATTTATAAGAGGAGAAAAGAAAGAGTTTTATAGCTAATAAAATTCTCCTGGAGGCCCTAGCCCAATACCACTCGAAAACCTATTTCGAATTGGGTTAATCAGGTTATTTTTAATGTTATAAACAAACATTAATGATCCATATCACTTAGGTGTGTGACTTTGTAGGTTTATATATCGTTGACAGTGAGCTAGGAAATTAATTCGAGCCTCATAAGTCATAAGCGGTCTCTAGTAAAACATTATGACTATCCAAGATATATAAATGTCAATTAATTATGACATAACCTTTTAATGATTAATTTGTACTAATAATTCTCTTTCGTCAAACGATATTTTAATTGAGACAAGGTTATGTCGTGTCATCCTTGTTATTCTCAATTAATATTTCTTGATTATCAAGTAAGATTAAGTTTGAACAAATGACAATCCATTTGAGCATGACCATTTAATCTTACTTGTTAAGTGACCCAATAGATATCTTTCTCTCGCTATACGTACAATCATCACCTTTATAATTACTCATTTAAAGATAACATTTAATGGTGTTAATACATATTAATTCCTAAGAAAGTAACCATGATTATCTCAAGTATAAGAATATAACACCTTATCATTATTTAGGACAACACTAATGACATATAACTTAGCAGTGTTCTCAAATTGGGTCTGTCCAACAAACTTGTTCATTAACAGACATCTATAGTATTAACTTGATATCTCTATACCAATGACTAGTGGAATTTAGCCATCAGTTAATCCACATTCTTGTCTATTAATTATCAATGTCCCAAATTAATAATATTAGACCATGTACTTTTACGACCGGTAACTAAATCCACAAGTTACTTTTGTGGATTAACTTGTGGATTATAGATCAACTAAAGTCCATGTTCTAGACCATCAATTAATCCACATATATTAACTAATGTCCCAAATTAATCCACGTGCATGCATCTTGTGTAGAACTTTACTCTTTAGTTGATCTATAATCCACATGTTTTCTAAAATGCATGCACGCAGTAGTAAATTCATGGGAGGTAATTACTACGAGTATTTTCTATCAAAAGAATCCCTAATGAGAGATGTAACATGAGCCTCTTTGTGAATCAAAACCAGGCCAAATGAAGGAACAAATTATGTAGTTAATTGGAGTTAAATGACTTCTTTTGTAGTCTTGACATCGCTAACTCTGAAATAATCCAACTCTCAAAAGAAGTACGGAGTAATAATACACAAATGAGTTTCAGTACGCTTTTGGAATACAAATTATGTACTGAATGTAATTTTTTGCATATCTTAGTTGAATTTGACCATGGATTATATCATCATAAATTCCCACCTCAATGTATTCAAACGCATCTCATATATAATTTCAAGTATTTATGACTGCTAACCTTTACAAATAAAATTATATACTACAGATGTTTTACTTGGACTGAAATTTGCTGGTCTGGTCTAGTCCGATCTATTTAAGTCTGGTCTGATCTGATCTAATCTGAACTAATCTGGTCTGGTTTGGTAAATGTCTGGTCTCTGTGTATTTTATAACTACAGAAGTCTAGTGTGGTCTAATCTGAACTGATCTGGTCTGGTTTGAAGTGATCTGGTTTGGTTTGGTTAAGTCTGTTTAAGTCTGGTTTGGTTTGGTCTGGGACTCAAAACAGTCCAACCGAAAACATCTTATATCGTAAACTTTTCCATGTTTTAGTTTAATTTGACCATGGATCAAATTCCCACCTCAAGGTATTCAAAACATATCTCATATATAATTTCAAGGATTTATAGTATTGGTAACCTTTAGTCAAACGATGTACCCAACCCTGTCCTTTATATACTGGGCCCCGCGTAGGGGTATTTTGGGTACTTCACTTAATGCCTAGTTAATGGGTGTACAAACCCGGCCCGCGTGTCTTGAATTGAGTGGGGTAGAGATTGAACAATATATATTTGACTTGGAAAGATTATATAAGGTGTGTTTGTGGTGCGGGATACTGTTTGAGACATAAATGTGATTTGGCGTCACTATTCACAAGTGGAGGGTCCCATTAAATCCCAGCCACACAAAATGCACTAGCATTCACACTACCCACTTACCTTATTTAAGGTTGTAGGGAATATTTGAGGAATTAACAATTTTGTCTCACAAATTGGAAGCGAGATGGATTTAACTCTGGAAATTACCAGCTTTACCGGAAAAATTGGTATTTTACTCCGGGACATATCAGTTTCGTGTTGCGATAACAGTGTTGCATTTATAGCATGGTATAACGCTCTACAGGCGGAGCTGGATCGTCTGTCTGAAGCATTGTCGCACATGTCCGCTGAGAGTGTCAACCCGGAGGAAAAATCAGCGTCCTCCGGCCACGGTGCCGGACATAGTAATGTGTAATAAATATATTAAAAAAATATTGTGATGTGTCCATTGTATATTGTAATAATTCATGTACACCTTAATGAATAATTTATATTTATTTAATAAATTCGAAACTGGATATTTTGTGCTTGTTCTACATCAATGATGTAACGCTGAAACATGTCTACAAAATACTGAATACTCTTAATTACATTATTAATACTAAAAACTCCTAGATTATAACGCATTACATGGAACCTTTAGTCAAACGATGTACCCAACCCAACTACCCAAGTATCTTACGACTTTTCACTATAAGCACGGCACTATTATCGAACATCAAGGTTGGTAGTTGTGAGTGTCATAGAAATGGAATGTGCCGAATGCCCTCACAGAGTTTCCCAAATGGGAGGTGTCGAATGCCTTCAAGTTTCTCTCATTA